CTGCCCCTGACCGGAGGAGCAACAAGGTAGAGTAAGGGTTATGGAGGTATCATATCTTCATGTTCTGCAGTTCTTGTTTTCAAACTGGACCCTTAACTTTAAAGACAGAGTTCTGTCTTTAAACCACATAGCTGCATTAATATGATCATCCTTGACATTAGGATTATATATACTTACAATAAACGAATGATTCTCATTCTGAAATAATATTCAAAACAATGAATATTCAAGCTGTAAGACAGCCAGTGTGGGCTGGGCTGAATTTAGGAGAAGATCAGAGGAATGCAAAGGAAACCAAGAAAGAAAGACTATTGGATTATCTCAAAATTATGGAAGAAACTGAATTGGAAGGTCTTCATCGCTGCAAACTATTCAACGAGCTTTCTCATTTACTTCATGCGTTCTGCTCTCCTTGTTTTTGAATCACCTCAGAGCATTCCTGGGATTATAAACTCCTGGAGGTCCATTAAACATTATCCTAAACTTCTTCACTGCACTCCAGGCCTGCAAATCATTTATAATGTCCCTGCTACCTCTAATTTTGAACTCCCTCACAGTCAGGCTTGCCATGTTAAGCCTGACTTCCCAGGAGTCCCAGGTAGGAATGCTGTGTCGTCCATTGACACTGAGTCAGATTTGCTTTTTGTTAATAACAGACCTTTGTTTTTTTTTTTTTTCTTTCTTTTTCGTGTTCTTAGGCAATAGAGAGATTACTCTCATACATGACATAAAATTGTACAGGTCAGAAAGTCTTCTGATGCTTCAGAGGGTGGTGTTGTGCCAGAAGTGCTGCTTAATGATGAGCTGCCACATGTGTCACAGAAGAAAGCAGCGTAAAGAGACCAATAATACTGATTCGTAAAGAACTGAGTTTGCACTGTGGTCATTCTATTCCTTGCTCTCCAGGATTTAGTGTGTTTTCATTAGAAGTACTGGAATATGCTGAAAGGCTTAAAACCCTTTATGAGGCAATTACTGTGTGTCTATAATATCTTTCATTTTTAGCTCTCTTTTAGTATTTCTCTTTCTGTTATTTTCCCCTCTCGTAACAGGTGGAAAAGGAATGGGAGGCTGGGAAGGAGGGATCCGTGTGCCAGGAATAATTAGATGGCCAGGAGTTTTGCCTGCAGACATAGCTATCGATGAACCTACAAGCCTTATGGACATTTTCCCAACAGTGATTCAGCTGGCTGGAGGGGCAGTGCCTCAGGACAGGTGCAAAAGTTACTTCATAAACCATATTTGCTCCACTTTCTTGATTTAGAGAGAATACAATGCAGCCTAACATCCACAGGTCAATTTTTGCTTGTTTCTAAACCAGATAGTTCTCTAGCTTCCTTTCTACTTGGCTTTCCCCATCTTGTATGGAAAAGGTTAAGGAAAGCAATGTGTTTTTAAAGGTGTCATTTATCCAGAGACAGCTTTCTAACCACTGAGATCATTGGATGACTGGATCTTTGGGATGGAATGATTTCCATGTCCATCCTTTTTTTAAGAACTTTTTATTTTATTTTCCTTGGAAAATCCACAGAGATTCACAAGGCTGTTGGATCTTGTTAAATAGGTCATGTCCTTTCTAGGACAAGGAAGCTGGGCATAGGGAAGGGCCAAAACACGACCTGCCTTTGGACCTCTGTAGGGGAGAAGTAGGTTCCTCGGTAGCAAGCAATTTTGAGCATCTGTTAGACTCCTCTAATGAACAAGTGAGAGAAAGGGCCTGTTTGAGTTATGAACAAAAAGCACAAAAGTCCCTGTGTTGTGTAATTAAGCTGCAGGTAATCACTAAGTAAGTGGAATAATTTTTATAAGGCCTGAGCTCAAAGAGCTGTCCGTGATTTCAGGGAGACAAGTTTGAAAGGGTGAACCTTGCCTTCTCTGTGGTTATCACATATTTACTCCCAGGAAAATTACAGTAATGATAACTTATCTCTCCAGGATGTGCGTACTGCTGTAAATGCACAAACTGCTAGCACTACTAATCGCTTGTCTCCACCCATCCGCACAATTAAAAGTCGCAGAGTAAATTAGCTAAATAGCAGCTTGTGTTGTAAATGGCGCTTGAAATCCGAATGCCGCACACATGGAGGGCGAATACTGCTCACACTCCAACTGCAAACTGAAATTCTTAAAACAGTTGAGTGACTTCCATTCTCTCCACCAGGGTCATTGATGGACACTCCTTGCTGCCTTTACTGCAAGGCACAGCTCAGCACTCGGAGCACGAGTTCATGTTTCACTACTGTGGTGTGTTTTTGCATGCAGTGCGCTGGCACCAAAAGGACAGTGAGTATAAACATTATCTTTCCTGCACATCAGAGGGCATGATGTAATGGCCTCTAACTTCCAACACAGCAACAGTTAAAAAGATGTACATTTGGGGTAAGTTCATAGCCTCAATGTCTTAGCTCTTCTGCAAGATGCAGAAGGGCTGAGGTTTTAGCTAGCCTGCTTTGCCTGAGATGAAGGATTTCACTTTATGGGTAGCATGGAGAAGATTCATATTGTTGTAGTGTATCTATTGTTCTTGCTGTGAAAGTATTTGGTATCAGTTTTAGGGTATGACTAGAAAAAAAAAGGAACAGCACAGAGAGGGTTTTTATTTTAAGCAGAGGTGTATTTTCAACGGTCCCATATTATTTTTGAGTTTTTCAGCTGTGGAATTAGGCAAGCTGACAGCAGCTATAATACTTTGGTTTGCTTTGAACCAGCACTTTCTGCTAATCCTGAATTTTTGCTGATGTTGGTGATGAAGGTGTTCCATTAAGGTAGATTTGAGAATGAGCTAGTGACTCGTAGCTGTGTCCTAATTCCTACCCCATCATGAAGGAAGGTATGGCATGTATATGACAAAACACAAGTGTCTGCAGCTAAACACATTGCTCTATAGATACTGGAAGGAAATAGATGTTTATAGGATGTGATTCACCACTTCCTAATGAAGACATCAGTCACCCCTAAAAGTGCCTGAATCTCTCTTCTGGCTGTGAAGGAAGCTGAGGCTGACCAGATCAGATACAAAAATCTTCCTTGTATGAACTTAATTGAGATGAATTGTCCCTTCTGTGACGGAATGATGTGAGAATATGATTAAAGATGACGAATTAGCGGTGAGGCTGCATTCAGCTGTTTTTCATTCTGCGCAACTGGAGATATGCAGAAGCTGATGAGATTAGGCTATGCCTATCCATCTTCCCCTCCTTTAGAGGCTTGAATGAGCCTCTGTAATTTCTATTTTGCTTTGCTTTTCCTGTCTGTGAAGTGAGAGAAGAAATACTGAGTTACCGCAATTAAATAACAGTTACAAAATCATAGGGCATTCTGCCATCTCCAGCTGTTCAGATTTAGCTGTTGTGACACTGACACTAAGCTGTCTGTTTGGAGTACTGCACATGCTGACCTTCTGTGAGATCATCTTAGGCAGCTCAGTGTGGAATCCCTCTTATGTCAAAGTGTTAATTGAGGGAACTTTCTCATACCACTTGCTGCTTCTTTACGATACTTTCTGATAACCCTGATTAATATTTTCAAGCAAGAATCTACTTGTTTTTCAAATACCTGTTGGATACTGAAGACCACAAAACCTATTTCTACTTCAAAATATTTCAAAACAGATTTCTCTGTTCGCCTACATTCATGCATGCACTCAAATATTTGAAAAGCTCTCCACCATTATTCTGTCCTTCATGATGGCATATAAATACATGCCAAGGTTGCAACACCAAACTTTTACTCACACAGCCACCTTAACCTTGGGGGCCAGCACCCAAGTCTTGGAAGCACAGGTGGAGTCTGGTCAGCACACACGTTGCTCCTGAGCAGAAAGTCCATGAGCTTTGCCAGGGGAGGACTGGCAGATATTCCCACTATTTTATAAAACGTGGATAAAAGAGATCCTTGCAACTGCTCCTCCTCTGTCTATTAGCTCAGTGGCCAGGTCTTTGTACTCCTGCAGCCTGCACATGTGTATCTTCTTTGGGCCACACAGCATGTCTGGTGTTAGCACGGGAGTTGGGCAGAGCTACTCACAGGATGGGTGCTCAGCAGAGCCATCACAGCTAAGCAGTCTTGCTTAGCTTGTTGGGCCTTTGCATGGCCCCAACAACAGTGCCTATGGAAGGCAGTGATTCCAATGAGGAACTGCATTTGAAGAGCAAAACACTAAAACTTTAGCCATCCTTAGGCATTAGTCACCGCAGGAGTCAAGGGTTCAATCCAGTCCTCTGCATAAGGAGATACAAAATATTCATCGCCTCTAATACACAATGCCTAAATTACTAGGCTATATTACTATTCCTCTGGTGGAAAGTAGGCCTCTCCAGCAATTATAAACCCAGACTCATTGAGCAAATGCCAAAAGTTAACAATTCCTACAGTCAATTCCATTTTGTAGTCCCTTCCCGCCTTGTCTGACAGGACTTAATTCCTATGCAGTCCCTTAGCCAGGTAAAGCACAGGAGGAGGAGGAACAGGTCTGAAGCTCTGATTTTTGACTGCCCGGGCCGCCGCCGCCCGCCCTCCCC